AATAGTTCGGCCTTTCCCTTTAAAAGGCCGGTGCTTGCCGGCAATAAATGTCGCCTTGATCAGACTCTTGTCTTGGCGTCCTTCCTTTCTCTCTGCCCTATCTCCACCCCGCTGCTCTTTCAGGTTTGAGGCACTGCGGGACAGTGCTCTGCGTCGCCGGTTCGCGACACTTGATGACACAGTTGTCACTTTTTAAAAAAAATCCTTACATGTCACATAGAGTTGGCAGCAGCACGGCAGAGGAAAAATTGCCATTTGTTGAATGACTTCAAGAGTTTGGTTCCCATGAATGCACTGGACTGGGAGATTGCTGGTAAGGATGATCTTATGCTTTGCCATGTATGATTGTTTTATGCCTTCTTGGGCTTCAAGAGTCTCACCAAGGAGGAAGCCCTGGTCAACCAGATCCTCAGCAGCCCCAAGACACCCTGACAATGGGAGTTCCTTTCTCCCTGACTCGGGGTGAGGTTGGCTGGGGGAAGGTACCTGCTTTGCATCCTTCCTCCAAGACCAACTGTGGGAGCGAGGTAAGGGCTGTGAGGCGGGAGCTATTTTCTCCTCTCTGCAGTGGACTCCTCCCCCAGCTAACAGGGTCCTCCTGGGCCTTGACTTCCACTTCCCAGAAGGCTTGGCAACATCGCAAAGCAGCCTCCGAGATGCACACGCCAGCCGCCGTGCTAGAGGCTTTTTTTATGCTTGTTTCTGAGGGCACAGGTGTCCCCTGGCCCCAGGTGCCCCTGGGAGGGGAGCTGTCCTTGCTCCATCACACCCAGCCGTGCCCAGGCTCTGTCTCCCTCCCCTGCCTTGGAAGCATTTGCACTGCTCTGGTGTCCGCAGCCCCGGCTCAGTAAGGGGCAGGGGAGAATAGTGGTTAGGGATCCGCACACAAGGTCTACACCTGAGCTATTTTATAAAGTAGCCACATGTGGCTATTTAGATTTGAATCCAGATCAGTGAATTGAAGATTCGGGATCTCTGTCTCAGTAGAGCAGAACAGCCCTGGTTTCTGCCATGAGAGGGACAGACGTGATCTCACAGGACCCTGACCTCAGATAGGGCTCCCTGGACCATCATAAAACGAGACAAAGCAAGGCCTTGCCATTTTCTCCTAAGTGCCACGAAGGCAAGGTCTTTGTGCCCCCGTAAAATGCCAAACACCTGCCAGCTTGGCCAAAAGGAGCAGCTGCTGCTTCTCTCTCCTTATCCTGGCCCTGGGCTGCCCTCCGTAAGTGCACCCAGACACCCTGCCATCCCTCTCTCTCTCTGACAGCATCTAATCTGGAGGGGGCTCCTGACCCAAGTCCCCTCTCAGGCAGCCACAGACCACTTCCGAAGCCATATCCCCTGCCCTTTTTATTTTTTATGTTGATACTTGATCTTGCTAAGTCACCCAGGCTGGCTTCAAACTTGTGATCCTCCTGCCTCAGCCTCCTAAGTAGCTGGGATTACAAGCATACACCACCAGACCCCTCCATCAGCTACATTTGAAGTGCCCAGAAATCACATGTAGCCAGGGGCTACCATATTGAACAGCACAGCTGTAGAACAACCCCTTCTTTGTAGAAAGTGTTGATTGCAGACCCTAGATCTGCAGGAAGCCAGCTGTAAGACAGTGGCACCCCTGCAATCCTTCTGAGATGGACTTCTCTTCTGTAAGATGAGACAGATCATAGTTGTCGTGGGAATTGAGAAAACGCATGTATGTCCCTGACATTCTGCCTGAAGTGGTCATTGTAAAATATGCTCGTGACTTTTTGACACCCTCCCTGTGAGATACAGAGTGGAATCTCCCCTTTCTTGAATGTGACCTGAGTATATCAACTCACTTCTAAAGAATGGAAGTGGCAGATGGCACCACCTGCAAAATGAGGTCTTCACTTTTTTTTTGTACAGGGGATTAAATTCGGGTCCTTGTGCATGCAAGAAGAGCACTGTTTTTTTGTTTTTTTGTTTGTCTGTTTTTGGTTTTGGTACTGGAGATCAAACTCAGGACCTTGCACTTGCAAGGCAGGTTGTGGAACCACCGAGCTAAATCCCTGGCTCTGCAAAATGAGGTCTTAAAGGGCAGTGTTGCTCCTTTGTATTCTCCCTCCTGGGTCTCGTGCTCAGGGGAAGTTCTTGGCCATGTCCAGAAAATGATCAAGTAGCCGTCTGGAAAGGTCCATGTGGTGAGGACCTGAGGCCCCCTGCCAACAGCCATGGGAGGCAGCAAGCCTAGAAGCAGATCCTTTGGCCTCACTTGAGTCTGCAGTTACCTGGCTTGGCCAGCAGCTTGACTGCAATCTCAGGAATGACCTGTAGCAGAACATCTGCTAAGCCGTTCTCGGACTCCTGGTTGTCAGAATCAGCCTGAGAGTAAAAGTATTCATACATACTGAGTGCATTTTCCTGAGTCTCTTTGGAGAATTTTCTATAGAAATATTACCCCTGATAACAGGAATTCAAGTCAGAGTCCCATCATCCTCTAGCTCAGGAGTTCACCCTAACCTCCTTGCCTGGGGTCACTGGTCAGCCCTAGTATCAGGAGAGACACAACAGGATCAGACATCTCACAGTATCCATGTGAGATGATAAATGTGTACCATAGATAATGTCTACTATTTTAAGCCACTAAGCCTCGGGGTAACTTGTTATATGGCAGTAGCTAACTGTTACACGTGGCCTATGGACGTGTTTAGCTAATATTGGCCATTCTAGCCCACTGTCCACAGTACTGGCCCACTGAGTTAGAGCCCAGATCCTCCAGTACACACAGTGAGGTCTGCCTTGTCATCCTCATCTGCAAATGCAGAAATTGGCTTCTGGTCTTGGATGTCCACTGGTGAGTGTGGGCACTGGGGCCACACTGAAAACAACAGTGAGTTGGGCTGAAGAGTTGGGAGTCTGGCTGGGTGCCCAGGCCTGAGGGCCAGGTTTTAGGCCAGAATCCTCTCCAGAATGACCATGTGTCATCGTGCGTCCCCACATTAGCTCTGGATCCCGCGGGAGCCTGCGGAGAGGAGAGTGAGGTGGCTGGAGGGGGAAGGAAGCCAGTGCCCCCCGCTCTGGCTGCACCCTTCTTTTCCTCTGCCCTTAGGTGGCCTCTCCCTGCTTCCTGCGGACACCGCAGTGTCCTGAGCAGGAGAGAAATTCAGAAGCTACACGTACCCCACAGAAGCACCCAAAAAGCAAAAAGATACCATAAGGCCAGCGTGGTGTATAAATTCCAGAACTGAATGTACAGGCCTAGTTCTCGCTCTAAATCCCACAGCCCGGGAGGGAAGGGTCATCCTGCCTGCGCGTGCCCAACAAATTAGCCTGAAATGCCCCATCCCTGGCTCCCGGAACTCAGGCAGGCAAATTAACCGATGGGTGAACTGCGTGTTCTGATGAAGAGGTGAGCGCTGCTGAGTGCCAGTCTAGAGCCCTCCCCCAAAGGGCTCTGCTGAGCCGGACCCCTTCTTCTCTGAGTAGGTGAACGTCGGTGTCTACACGGGGTTAACAATATATATTTATGAGATGCCGCCAGCTGCAGCAGTGGTTTTCCCACGTGTTTGGTAATGAAAGGTAACCCGGGGTCAGGCCATTATGTAAATAACTGTGCTGGGGCAGAGGTGAAGTCCCCATAATGAGTGGTCTCTTGAAGCTTTCAGAGGCGCTAATGAATATTGGGTCTTGTCATCGCCCATACTCAGACAGAACCCCCCACCCCATTTTACCATAGCAAGGCAGGGACAGAAAGGATGTGCCCTATCTGAGCTCCAACAGTCCGCTTCTCCCTTCATTTCTGCGTGCATGGAGCAAATTTGAATTCTTCCCCCACCTCCCTCCCTTCCCCATGATGCTTAGGCGATAACCCAGCCCAGATCGAAGTGGCAGGTGGGGACGCTGGCTACAGGACTCCTGGCTGCGACCTCCCAACCCTTGCCTTGCTACCACTGTCTGGGACAGAAACAGGTGCCTCCCCAGAAAACAAGAAAGAAAAGCTGGTTGAGGAGCAAGCTTTGCAAGCTCTGTGTCCAAGCCTTGGCTGTACATGGGGGACAGAGGCAGGCTGGGAGAGCAGGTGGAGCCCAGGGCCCTGGCCAGAAGCCGAGCTGGGGGATGTTGAGGTCAGAGGCGAGCCTCACAGCACAGCGCTCTCCAGGAAGGGGCAGAAGTGTCTGGAGGACTTGTACATGGCCCCAGCAGCTCCCTGCAGGCTGGAGGGAGACACTTTTACAGCGTCTAGGCGAAGGCAGGCGGCGGCAGCCCCGCCTCCTCCTCTCATTGTCTGTGCAGAGCTCGCTGAGGAGCCCAGGGCTGCAGTGCTGCTCTGGGGGGCTCCACACACAAGCTCCTGGTCTCCCAGACCGCCCCCCGCCGGTAAAGAGAAGCTACTTATAAATAATGTGTTGCACTCTGACACTGCCTTTGACTAGAGGGAGTATGTGGAAATGGTTGATTAAAAATAAATAAAATGTAAAAATAAATAAATAAAATTAGGGCCAGGGATTTAGCTCAGTGGTGCTGCCGCCTGCCTCACAAGCGCAAGGTCCTGAGTTCGGTCCCTGGTACCAAAAATAAAAAAATTAAATAAATAAAATTAGGCTCCTCCAGCTCCTCCAAACGGGCAAGCAGGCCCCTCTCTCTGAGGCCCTGAGATAAAGCTGCCCAGCCCCTGGGGGTACTCGGGAAGCTGGCTGCAAGCTGGTATTATGTAGGCTGCAGATTCATAAGGGGTGATCAAAATATACGACAGATGCTTGAATTTAAAAATGTATTACAGCAAAAGACACACTGCCGAAATCCTGTCCCATGCTTTGAACACTTACCCCACCATCCTCACCACTGTTCAAAGCGGTCCAGGAAGTGTTCTTCGGCTCGCATCTCTGCAAGGTGTGACCGAAAACACAATGAAGCCGCTGCTGCTGGCTGCCGCCCCCCAGAAAGGCAGGCTCATGGAAGCACTCCTGTGTCCTCTTTACTCACTGGATCTGGCAACCCCGCGATCTCTGGCACCTTCCTGAAATCAAAATGACCACGGAAGGCAAGGGTTTTGAACGGATTCTGGACACCGCAGCAGCCACAACTGCACAAGTAAAGATACCCCCAAGGGAGGACATCCAGAGCTACTCCAGAAGATGGCAAGGATCACAGGATGAGCGTGTTCAGAGCAAGGGTGAGCACCTGGAGGGGGTGAATGGCAATGTCTTTTACTGTAGTAGATTTAATTTATTTAAATGTCCACCATAGTCTTTGATCACACTGAGTAGACCCATTCACAGGCTTATAGCAGACAGATACATTTTTAACCAGAAGCTGTTATGCGTCCAGCATCCCTGAGTGTTGGGACAAAACATCTCTGCAGAGGGAGGCTTGTGGTCAGGGCAAGGAAAGCGGGGCTCTGGGTATGGTCTGCAGGGCTATGCCAGGGACCAGGAGGCAGGGACACACACAAGCAGCCCGACCTTCCTCCGAAGTGGCGACAAATGCTAACCCTGGAACCTGAATATCTTCATGTGATTCTATTTTCCCAGGGCCTGGGCAGGGCGGGAGGCAGATGGGGTAAACCTCAGCTTTGCAAGCTGCCCTCAAAGTGAGGGCTCTTGGACAGGTGCAAAGTTCCTTCAAGAGGGGCCAGACTCCCCGACAGGGTGGAGACGCCCAGAGGAAGCAGCTCAGCTCCTGTGTGGTGTAACGTGGTGCTGCAGCGATACTTCTGACACGGCCGTGTCTTTGGGGCGGAACACAGATGATCTGGAACCAGAGAGAAGTAGTCATCACACAACACTGTGACTGTCCTAAGTGCCACTGACCTGCCAATTCTGCCTTTTCATCCAGTGCTAGGAATTGAACCCAAGGCCTTCCCATTGAGCTGCATTCCCAGCCCCTTTTTAAGTTTGGTTTTATTTTCCATTTTGGCACAAGACCTCCCTAAGTTACTGAGTTGCTCAGACTGGACTGGAATTTACAATCCTCCTGCCTCAGTCTCTGGAGAGGCTGGGTTGCGTGTGTGCTCCACGCTGCCCAGCTAGCCCAGAGGACTAGGGTGACAGCCAGTGCCTCCCTCTCCCTGCAGCTCTTTCGCTCTGGCTCACTGCCTCCACTCTGGTGACCATAGATGAGAGAAAGACATCCCCACAATTTTGAGGGAAGGTGTCTTAGTTTTCCTGTTGCTGAGACAAAATACCCACCTCCCAAAGTTAAAGGAGGAGAGAGTTATTTAGCTTACAGATTGTAGAGGCTGTAGTCCAGTATCTGCTGGCTCCAAAGCAGGGAGCCACGGCAGCGAAGCATCGCAGAGGAGAAATGGTCCATGGCAGGCCAAAGGCAGCAAAAGCAGTAAACAGTAAGCCACAGGCAGCAATGACAAGCAAAACCCTCTTTCTGTCCCTTATGTCCTGTCCAAGCTATGGACCTTAGGGCAGGTAGCACTTGAACCCAGGGTGGGGCAGCCTTAATGTTAGCATCAAAGCATGAATCAACCCCAGCATCACATCTTTGATCCCAGTAGACACCCTAGACCCAGCCATCTCCCAAAAGCCCCATCTATGACTCCATGAGGCTTTGCGGGTACAGCTAGACACAAGCCATAACAGAAGGGCAGAAAAGGAAGGGGGGACAGAGCAGGCAAGGACAATGTGCGAGCATCAGCTGGCCATTACCCCTGCCTCCCTTCTCCACCTCCTCCATTTCCAGCTTCCTTCATCCTCCTCTGTCCCCTCCCTCCTGGAAATAGCCCAAGCTCCTGGGGTTGGAAACTGGTCCTGTGGGGCCCCCTGCAATAGGCACCCACATGCACAGGGCTCCAGAGCTAACAGGCAGACCATGGATTTGCTGATGGCAGACAGACTTTTGGAGAAGGAAAATCACAGTGGCCACAAGGCATCCGTGCAGCCCAGTGACACTGCTGGACTCAGTTGAATAGAGGCATCATGAACACTAGCAGGGCACGATCAACCTACACAGGAGCTGCAAGCAAAGGTGGGGGGCTCTGGAACCCCAACCTGCTGGGGTTTGGGCCCTGATGGGAGGTGCTGAGGGTGTGCACCAGTTGAGGGCAAAGAGCCCCACTTTGGGAACAGAAAAGGTTCACTGTGCATTCCAAAGAGCCACATGGAGCCTAAAACCTAGACCTTCTCTGGACCTGGCCTAGACAACAATGTCCCGGTGAGGCACAATGAGTACAGTTGGAAAATGTCCGCGGACTTGAGGACAGACAGGGACCTGTGGTTTGAGACTGCTTGCTACCCTTCCATAGGAAACACAAAGTGGTTTGAAGGCTGGAAGGCTGGGAATGGAGCTGAAAGGGGTGGAATGCCTGCTCCTGTTCAGGGGCGTCTCTAAAGCCAGGTCCGTGCACCCCTGTAACCCTAGCACTCCGGCAGGCTGTGGCAGGAGGATCAGAAGTTCCGACCCAGCCTGGGCAACTTAGCTACATCCTGTCTCAAAATAAAAAGTGTCTCTACTCAGTAAAACCATTGCATCACTTTTCTACAGCCTGCCCTGGGGGAGCCCATCTTCCCAAGGTCCATCCGGTGCTGATGACAGAGTCCTCCCATTGCTGCCCCCCAGGGACCTTTTCTGCACCAAAGACAAAACGCACCAGGCCACTCCTAGGTCACACCCAGAGGAGCAGAAAGGGTGGCCCCCACCTTCCGCTTACTTCTTTGCTCAGAGTCTACAGGGGGCTTTGGGAGAGGGTCCCTGCCTCTCTCTTCTTATTCCCTCCCCTAGAAGCGCTTTCCTTCCCCCTTGCTGCAGATTATCTGGGGCATTAGAAGGATGGGCCCAAGAATGCAATCTCCCTGGGTGGTGCCCAGCACAGCCGAGACACAGGACCAACACCCGGTAAACACAAGTGTTGTGCACATGTGCATGGGTGGATGGGGGAGGGTGGCTGGCAGCACCCACCCGGGGAAGCTAATTCCTAGCTTTTGAAGCCTCCTTCCAGCCCAAGGAGCCCTGGGGTCCCCTGGGGACCTCTCCCTACTCCAGGCTTCTGTCTCTGTGCGGGGTTTCCACACTGGCCCTGAGGAACATGCAAACTGACTTGACAACAGCCCCCGGGGGCTCCTCTCTGCCGGCTGCAGCTTTCAAAGACACTCTCCCATCATCAGAGGCTGCAAATAAACTAGTAACGATGCCTGGCAACCTCTGAGGATCAAAGGCGACCCGAGAAAAGCAAAATCAAATTACCCTGGATGGCGGCAGCCCCTGGAAGGTTCTAAGAGTGGAGGGACAAGCCTGCGTCAGCCCTCCCGGGCCAGCAGCTGCCTAGGGGAAGAGTGGGGCCTGCAAACAGCCCAGCGAGGGAGCAGAGGCCAGCCCGCAGCAGCTTGGGTTGGGCTGCAGTGAGCTTTTTAACTTGAAGGTTTGGATGCTCACATTTAAAAAGCAGAAGCTTTCCCATAGAACTGCATGCCTGGCTCCTCTTGAGAAACCAGCACTCTGAAGGCTGTGGGGCCCAGGGTCGGCCATCCCCAGAGCCACACAGTTGCAGCCCCTTGGGACGGAGGTGTCCAGTAGACCAGCCGGCCCCTGTGCTTGCCCGGCCCTTGGAGGTGGGTGAAAGGGGGTTTGCATGCCCTTTCGGGTGCCCCTTCCCAATTAGGCCACTCACGCAACGAGAGGTCCGGCAGGAGGAGATCATTATTGTAGGGAGGCGAGCAGGAGGCAGGAAGGCAGAGAGGAGGAAGAAGAAGCAGAAGGAGAGAGAAGAACAAAGAAAGGAAGGTCCTTTTATCAGTTTTGGGGTGGGCTATTGCTTATTTATGAGGAGTGAGTTACTTTTAACCTATCACAGGCCAGATTGCTTTTATGGGCCCAGCCCTGCAGACACAGGTTTCAACTTCTCTGGACCACTGTGGCCTTGGCGGGGAGGGAAACCAGAGATAAGGGCATGAGGTCATTTTAGGAGCCAAGAGGTACCAGGAGAATGCAGCCTGTGAGGCGGCGTCACGGCGTACTTTAACATGATCAGTTCCCTAACAGTGGGTGAATGTGGGATGTTTCTGGGCAAAGAGGATCCCGTCTTACCCAAAATGTCCCCACGTGTCCAGGGCACGGACCCTTCCTTGCCTTTCATACAACACAATCACCTGCCTTCTCTTTTGTCTTTCTCTGAATTTCACCGGGGACCCCAGGGTCAAATGCAAATTCCATAATCTCTTGGACTTGGACTCTGCTCTCTAAAGAGAGGTCTGGGGCCCCTCCAGGCCAGTCTTCTGCCCCCCTGATGCTGAATGGAGAGCTGCCTGGGGCTTGGACTGCACCTCTCTCTAAAGAACAAAAGGAAACCTGAGGAGGGGCTCACCAAGTCCCCTTTTGCTCTCTCATCCCTTGGGCTGTGTGTTAGTCTGCATCTCCAGAGAAACAGCCAATGGGATGGACAGACGGAGAGATGGGGGTGTCCCTGCGGACTGGCTTCTGTGATCCCAGAGGCCCCGAAGTCTCACAATGTGAGGTCTGCCAGCCTAGGACCTGCAAAGGTAGTGCTGTGAACACCTTCTCAGCCTGAAGCTCTGAGGACCAAGATCCCCCATGTCAGAGGCTCAGAGAGGAACTGGCCTGTCCTAACTTTTCATCTCATCTGGGCCTCAATATCCTGGATGCTGCTGGCTCCGAGTGTGTTAGTGCAGGTGAATCATCTTTCCTTGGTTTCCCTATCCGATACCAAACCCTTCCAGAAACATTCCCTTGAATGTCCCCAAAATTGCGCTGTCCCAGGAATCTGGCACCCTTGGCCCAGTCAGCTTGGCCCCGAGCATTAAGTTTCATGGTCTGCCCTGCCTGGGGCTGAGAGCCACCAGCCTTGGGCTCTGCTGTAGGGAGCCAGAGGGGAGGAAGCGGCAAACGGTACCTGTTTGCTCTGGGATAACACAGAGGGCTCCGTGAGGAGGGCGGAGCCATGAGGGCTGTTTGTTCTGGGAGTGGTTAATCCTTGTTCAAATTTACATCCTGAATCTTTAATGCAACTATGTCCGTGAGGAGGTGGACGCCTCCTTGCACAGCTGGGTCTGACTACAGAGAAACTGACTCTGGCTTGAAGACTGCTGAGGGGCCCCGGAGCAGCCAGGACCCAGCTTCCAGGAGGGCTGGGCAGGGAGAGGGCCGGGTGAAAGTTCCACCAGCCCAGCAGAACTCATGACTGGCCACACTGCCCAGGGTCCATGTAGCTTTTTCTCTGCAAGAAACCACAGTATAGAGCTCTGTGTGGGACCCTTGTTGCGTTCAGTTTTCAAGTGTTTATTTTTAAAAGTAAGTTCTAGTGCCAGGTGGGGGTTGTGGGCCTATAACCTCAGCCTTCTGGGAAGCTGAGGCAGGAAGATGGCAAGTTTGGGCCCAGCCTGGGCAACTTAGCAATTCAGTGAGAACTTTTCTCAAAATAAAAAATAAAAAAAAACATGAGGCCCTGAGTTCAATTCCCAGCCAGAGGACACAGTGGAACAAGCAGCCCAGGTTGTCCCTCGGTGTGGGCACCATGCTCTTCCCTAACCCAGGAGGCCTGGCATGCACTGGTACATAGTAACCAACCCGGGAAAGCCTAGACTGGTAGTGTTTGCCGGCTCCCATGGTGTAAAGGTCTCTGGCAGGGCTGGCTTCACAGCAAGGTTGGAAGGGGAGTGGGCAGGGTGCCCCAGCACCACCCACCACACGAGCCTGTGCGCTGCTGTGAGCTTTATTTTCTCTTCAGGTGAGCTGCAGGTGGGAGAGACAGAAAGCTCTGGAGGAAAAGCAGGGGTTTTCACCAGAGGCAGAAGAAACAAGCAGCACAAACCTTTAGCACCGGTGAGAGGGTGAGAGGACCGGCTCGAGGCCATCTGCAAAGACAAAACTCTCTAGGGTTTCAAACAACCGCAGAAGCCATCCTAGGTGAGCACGGCATAGGGATTCAGTCGTGCAGCAGGAGCCGAAGCTGGTGGCTGGCGAGAGGAAAGGTGGAGCTGTTTCTCCATCTGTGAAATGGAGAGATATTTGTGAGAATTAAAGGAGCCAGTGCCTTTGCAGTGTTTGGTTCAGGGCTGGCACCTGGCACTCACTTACCCAGGGGCAAGGGGCACACGGCGGGAAGCACAGCCTGAGAGCCAGTAGAAATGAAGTGAGACCTCTCTGGAAGTGCTGCACCGCCAGAGAGCACAAGCCCGGGGAGTCCTCTTGGGGCTGGAGGCCACCTGCAGCAGAGAGGGCAGGGAGGACTCTCAGGGCTTTGAGGAGTTGGGATTAAGGACTGGGCTTGCAGGACAGGACACACAGCAGGCTGGGGAAAGAGGAGGATCTAGAAAGACCCAATGGCCAGAGCAAAATCTGGTGGGATGGGGAGCAAGCATCCCAGGGGCCACTGGGGAGCACCAAGTTGGTGACCGTGTTAACTTTTCATGGCCGTGACAAAACACCTGAGAAGAGCAACTTAGAGCAGGAAAGGTTTGTTTGGCTCCTGGTTTCCGAGGGTTCAGTCTTTGGTTGGGTGGCTCCACTGCTTGTTGACCTGTGGCGAGGCAGAAACATTGTAGAGGAAAGGTTTGGCTGAGGGAAAGCTGCTCATCTCATGGCAGCCAGGGATAAGAAACAGGAAAGAGCCAGAGAGGAAGGAACCAGGGACAAAGTATATATAGTTTCCCAGGGCAGGTCCTCGTGATTCACCCCCTTCAACAGACTTCACCTCCTGGGTTTCCGTCGCCTCCCAATGACATCATTAGTTTGTGACCTCGTCCACTTGATGAAGTTAGGGCTGTCGTGATCCAATCACCTCCACAAAGCCCACCAGCTGCCAGTGGAACCTTCAACACCTTGAGCCTGAGGGGCATTTTCGATAACAATCACAAGTGTGACTGATCCACCCCAGCTCAGAGCAAGGTCTTGACCACTCCCTGAACAGGTGTCCCAGCCTGAGCGCTTGGAAGGAAGGAAGGCAGCCGCACTAGGTTAATAGGCAGCCATGGAGAAGGGCCGCACCACCAGGCCCAGCCTGCCTCCTGCACAGCCCCCCTGCCTGTGGTGGCCCTCCAACCCTGGCAGAGTGGTGAGCTGACTCACCCTGTACCCTCGCTGCCCACCTAGGCCTCTCAGTGGCCCTGCTGGAAGCCATGGAGGCTCCAGAGAAGGTGACGGGATCTGTTTAGAGCAGCGACTTTGCAGTCTCTTCAAATTATAGCACCCAAGGATGTGGCCAGTGTCGTCATAGGAGGCTGGCCCTGTCTCTCTGCCTCTGTCCTCCTGTCCTTTTCTCTCTGTGTCTGTCTCCCTCCTCTTCTCTCCTCCCCTCAAACAGGCCCTCCCCAGCAAGGATTGGACACCTTGAAAGTAGGAAGGGGCTCCCTCTACCCAAGTTACAGTTTGAGGAGCTCTCTTAGCCTGGTGGCATGAAAGAAACAGAGCAGAGGAGAAAGACAGCCACTCAACTGCACCCAAGTCCCCTCTGCCCTCCCCTCCCTTCTCCCCTTCTGCCTTCTTCACCTCTTTCTGAAACTGAGGACTCCCTGGGGACAAGAGCTGTGCCAAGTGCTGAACCCACAGTGTGGCTGAGCCCACAGCAAGGAAAACTCAAGTTGGCCCTGGAGGAGACAAGAGTCCTGCCAGGTCATGAAATCAGGCAATGGCCCAGCAGGCCAGACTCTTCCTGATGCCAGTGTCGTGGTCCCCAGGTGCCCATACCTCAGTGGGAGGGCTGGGTGTCCTCCTGGCTGGGCCAGCGCCCAGTTATCCTACCCATGGTTCCTCGGGTCCCTAACAGCCACTCCTGTCTCACTGAAGTCCCCAAACAGAGGCTCAGGGATTGTGCCTTCTGATGCGGGCTCTGGACCCCATGGCAGCAGGTGATCCGAGGACAAAGGATTCCCAGCAGCCCACCTGGCTCTACAGCCCTGGCCTCCACAGTGTATACAGCCTGTGAGATTCAGCCCCCAGAGCCCAGCCTTCCACAAGTGCAGAAGAAGCCCAGCTCTCTTCTTGTTAGCATGACCCACTGCTAAATGATTTGGTTAAATGGGCCTTTCTGCAGCCCAGCTGGAGGTGATAAGCTCCAGCCAGGAGTTTGTTTTACCTCAAACAGGGATGTTTAACCCCAGAAAAATAAATCCCTGCTTACCACCTCCCCCGGCCCACAACCCCTTTCACAGCTGAGCTGATGGCCATGCACAGGGCCAGCTGGAGTGGCGGGGAAAAGGCTTTGTTCAAGGCCACTGGGGAGAAAGTGACCGTGAACAAGCCAGGCCGGGTCCTCCACATCAGACACTCGGGGCTGGAGGGAAACCAGCCTGCCTCAGCTGGGCACGAACCTCTGCACTCTCAGTACAGAGCGACTGCTTGTAAGTCATGACGTACAAGGCTGGCTTCTCAAGGCAGCCTGTGCTACCCCAGAGATGCTCCCCAGGGTGCTGGGTATTTGGTGACCGTGGAAACGAGGGGGACCTTGATATTAAGGAATTTGTCTTGGGTTTGGCCCTGACTCTACTTCTTAATAACTGTGGGACCTTAGACAATTGGCTTCGTGTCTTAGAGCCTTCGGCTCCTGTAAAGTAAGGATGACAATACCACCTTCCTTGTGGCATGATTTTGAGAGGCGGGATGACATCCAAGCAAAGCGCCCAGCCTGGAACCTGACCCACCACGGGGACAGGGGATGAGAGAGATGCTGGAGAAGGCACAACAGGAGGACTCCTTCGGGGTGTTCCCAGTCTTCCGACCCAGTCACCCCAACCCACTGTCCACACCAAGGGGACACCTGACACCTCAGGTCTAGAGGTAAGCACAGCATGAGTGTAACGCGGTCCCCCTGACCCTCAGTCCTCCTTTCCACAGTTACCCAGGACCACAAGAGTGGTCCACAAATATTAAATGGAAAATGTCCAGAAATACCTCATAGTTTTAACTTGTGTAATACATGTCATTAAAATGCTTCTGCTGTCCTCATCAGTCAGTGCTCATCTCTGACTGTGCCTCGTGTATGAATTAAACTTCATGGCAGATGTAAGTGCACAGGGAAATCCCCGTGTCTACAGGGCCCTGGACACCAGTGGGGCTTCTCTGAATGTCTGACCTGGGGTGAGGGGGAACAGCACTAGCACGGAACTCGGGGGAGGAGGTTTTCCTCATCCACCAGCAGAGCCATGGATAAATCGCCACACAGCAGCCCACGGGACCTGAGGCAGCTTTACCAGCACGTGGACTCCTGTTCCACCATGACCCAACTCTTCCTTGGGTGTGGAATGTTGCATTAGAAAGAAACAGGACCCCCTACTTTCTATTTTTTAAAGCTTCATAACCGAGCAAAGTGACCACCACCATCACGTTGGCCAGTGCATGCATTATAGGAAACTCTTTTTGAACAGGACCAGAATAATAAATGCAGCATTTTGGCCAGGGCTGCCCCAGCGAGGCAGGACTGGGCCAGGGGACAGTGGCACAGGTGACTCCACCACTCTGCACTTTGCAGGTGTCTGTCTGAGCCATGTCCACCACTTAGATGGCGCGTCTTCCTTTCTACATATCAAAATACTTTTTAGGACAATGAAAACCATTTTTTAAAAGCTTGGTCTGGCTTAGAGATGATGTCTTCCTTGGGAGGCAGTTGCAAGGGGAAGAAATGGCCCTCCACTCACTGCTGGTGGAAATGCAAAATAGCTCAGCCACTCGGGAAAACAGTTCAGTAGTTTCTGGTAAGGAAATTACTTTCTACAATTACTGTACCACCCAGCAATCCCACTGTTTGAGAGAAAAGAAAATATATTCAAATACCCACAGCACTCAATCATAACAGCCAAAGACTGGCACGAACCCCACTGTGCATCCCCAGGAGAATGAGGTCCACCCACAATGGATCACCACTTGGCCGTAGCAACACAGGGACGACTGAGCCACCAACAGCACAAAGGATGCTGAAGGCCTCATCTTAAAGGAAGGACACGAGGTGCCATGGCTACCCACCATACTGTATGATTCTGTGCATAGGAAAATCTAGAAAAGGTAAAACTACGCAATGACAAAAGCCAATCAAGGTCACCAGGGCTAGAGAGGTGTGGACTTCCCCTGACATGAAAGGGAGCACGGTCCATTTCATCTGCATCCTAGGCTGCAGGACAATGCACCCACCCCATCTCTGTCCTAGGCTTGTTTTCCACCAAGATGGCAGGATTTCCTTCCAGAAGGATCAGCCTACTTGCCCTATGCCCCTATTCCCCGACCCTCCAGTAGAGGCCGCTGTCCACCCCGGACTGGCCCAACTCAATGCAGGGTCAGCAACCGTGGGTCTAAGCCTGCTGGGATCTTGGACCCCACCCTCTTGTCCTGTGAGACCAGGCCCCTTTCCAACCTCCAAGGCTCACCTCTCCCTGAGCCGTCCTCATCTCCACCGCGGCCCTGGAGACCTTCATCCCGGTTTCAAGATGTCCCTGGCTCGGCACACTCTTCCTGCAAGGGCACCTTCAGGCTGCCTGCCCTGCTGGGGTGGGGTGGGGAGGCACCTGATCCCAGCTCCTCTGCAGAGACCACCTGCCATTCTCACTGCTTTGTCACCTCCTGCCAGGATGCCCTGAGCCCCTGCCCAGCCTGGTGTCCCGCCTTTTCCCAGCCCATCCGGGGTACTGGCTGTCCGTCCCTCAGCCCTCCTCCCTGACATACTCCTGCCCTTTCCCTGGCCTGGCCCTTCTGCTCCTCCCGTAACTGTGCACCCAGCCCCCACCCTCGCTTTGGTCATTGCTGCCGCTGGCACCAGGGCTTGGGAGGGAGATTCTACACCTCAGAACCGTCCCAGTCACCTGCCGGCTGAGAGACACAGGCATGTATTATAGGAAAAACCACAGCGTACGAGGAGGGTTCAGGGCTACCATGATTTCAGGTGCCCGCTAGGGATCTTGGGACGCAGCCCCCCAGGATGAGGGGACACCGCCAATCTACAGGGCCTCGCTGGTGGTGCGAGCTCAGTCATGGCTCCCGCTGCAGCACACAGAGCCTGAACACCATGTCTGGCCCCACTGCTTTCTCCCCAGATACAGCTACTCCTCCACGCCCAGCCCCACTCCCATCCTGGAGCAACAATTCCCCCTTCGTGTGTTGGACACCTCCCATTGGGGCAGCTGGGGCAGAAGAGGGGGTGGGAGGGGTGTGCAGGAGGAGGCAGGGTGCTGTGGGCGGTTTGGCAGAGCTGCCGGCATCTGAATGCGGGGACTCGGGGCCTGCACTCACCCTCTCTCCCTCCCTCTCTGGCTGCTGCTGTGTTTGCTCCACCGCTGATGGATGAGACTTTAATTAAAGTAATGAGACGTTTATAACAGTGGTTATCTCCAAAATTAGTCCTTTTAGCAATTATTCCTGGGGACTGTTCCCCAGGTAGTAGATAGCTTCCTTTTCTTTGGAATGGAGGGGTTCTGCACCTGAGAGGGATCTTCCCAGCATCCCCCAGTGCCGTGGTGGAGGATGAACCATAGGGTGTGGTCTCCTTGGGAAACTTGACACAGCTTCTGCCTGAGGTTTCTCCCCACAAGAGGAAAGGCTTGATGTCCATGGGGCTATGAAGCCCAGAGAGGGCACCTCTGGGCTCAGAACCGGAGGCTCTGGATTCAAGTCCTGCCTTTATAGTCCTCCTCGATTCTGAGAGTTTGGAAAATGTGTGCCTCTCTGAGCCTTGTATACATCTGTGAAATGGGACAAAGAGCTCACGGGCTCTTGGTGAGGACAGGTGATACGAGGCTCAGCGAAGGCTCAGGCAGCAGGCTTGCGGCGCATGGTCATAACGTTGATATCAGCACATTTCAGAACATTCTTATTTAAGCTCCCAGACAGCCCCTGCCCTGGCCTTTCCCACGGCAGCACTGTCTGAGGGCCCACCGTGGTCGATGTGTCCCCTTATGAAAACAACCACCTGCTAGGCTGTCTTACTTTCGCAGGCCCTCCGGAGTTTGGGCCCCAGCCCTTGGAGGAGGGATGCATGGGTCACCACTGATCTCATCTTTCTGGAATTCTGCTCTCACTCCCCTGACCCCACCCCACCTGCCCAGCCTCTCTGCTGTGTCCCTGTTCACTTCTGTGCCTGCCTCTTCCTCTCCCGAGGCCCCACAGCAGGGGCAGACGTGGACAGTCCTGGCCACGAGGAGGCTCGAGGTGTGGCCATCTCTCGGGTCACTTATCCTGTGGACCCGGCCATGTGCCCGGTGCTGTGCTGGGTACTGGGGCGCAGCCGTAAACAAGCCAGGCACCTCCTGCCCGTCCTAGGTGCTTTCCTCTCATCGCCGAGACAAAATACCCAACACCCAAAGTTAGAGGAGGAAAGGTTTACGTGGCTCACGGTCCGTAGAGGTTTCAGTCCATAGCTACTGACTCCAAGGCAGGGTGGCACATGGCAGAGGGGCAGCAGTGCATGTCCGATAACGGAAGCAACAAGGGACCTTAACAGCAACTTTCTGCCCCTTTTATCTCATCCGGGCTACTTAGGGCGGGCAGTGCTCACAGCCTTAATCCCAGTGCCCTCGACCCTAGCATTGCACCGTGAATCAGTCCCGGTGTCACTCACTCTAGATCCAGCCACCTCTGAAAAGCCCCACCTATGACAGCCTGCGGCTTTGGGGGGACGTCTAGGCCCAGCTGTGACACTGCCCTCCAGGAACTGGCGTTTCTGAAGGGCACCTGGTTCGCTGCAGCCTGAGACAGACCCTGGCTGTCTGTAGCCACTGCATACCACAACCCGGAAGACAGGACAGCAGAAGAGCCAGGAGCAAGGTGCCCACCTGCCCGTACACGCAGGGGACGGGGGAGGATTTGGTCTGGCTGAGGAGAGCAAGCAAAGGAAGAAGTGACGGTGAGGCAGAGCTGCCACATGAGGACCGTGGCGTGGTGACTGGGTGCTCTCGCTGCCCCGTGGCTGGGCACTGGCCCCAAAGGGCTTTCTCCACTGGGCAGCCTGGGCGATAGGATGGCCCAGCCCCTTGCATACTGACATCGCTTCTGCTCTGCCAGGAAGAGGCAGAAGGGCCAATGGCAGAGGTGGGAGCAGATTCTTGCCTGGCAACAGCTGCCAAGGTGCTGGAAGCTACCCCTCCCCCCTCCTCCCATGGCCTTGGCTTTGCAAATGCAAGAACTAGGCAGCTTGGGCTGGGAGGTGTGAGGCACCACTGTCACCACCCCCTCAAGAAGAGCAGGCTGTGGTCGTCAGGGGACCTGCCTAGGGGCAAGGATGTCCTGCTGCAAAGCACATCCTAAACCCAGCCAGGAAATGCCTCTCACTGCTGCCCATGGGGAAGGGCACGAAACTGGGGACAGCTCCTTGAGACCACGGCCTTGGGGTGCAGTGAAGCAGCTGTCTAGCGCCCAGGAAGGTGGGCAGTGGCTTCACTGCTTCCCTAAACTACAGCCACTGGCGCTGAGGATGGGGCTCTCCAGAGCTCTGTCCAGACCCTGCTCAAGAATGATCTCCTTATTCACAAGGGCTCTGTCCCCCAGGAGGATGCTACCCTGATTGCCCTCCTCTGGCCCAAAGCATTGCTCTCTGGCAACCCTGTCCCCTTCCAAAGGGATCTGCTTCTCTCCCTTGAAAAGCCTGAGAGAGACCAATTCAGCTCCAGCCGCTCCTCTCAGAACAGCTGCCCAGGATGTGCATTTCAGCCAGATGCCCATGCCAGCGCTCAGGGACAGAGCAAGGACAGAACACGTGGCACCCCAGAGGTGGGCCTGGGGGCAAAGATCCAGAGGGCACAGGAGACAGACTCCCCACATACCAGGCTTCTCTTCCTGAGTCTGCAAAGCCTCTCTCCCTCAATCTGCCTTTGTCCTGACGCCTCCCGGCCCCAGCGCCCATCTGTGGGCCATTGTGTACTGGGCTCTCTCTTTTCTCAGTGATGTGACTGTCACCCATGGGAGGGTGTTGGCAGCCTCGGTTCCGTACAGGACCGAGGCCCTGGCTAGGCGGCTCTGTCAGATCTGTGGGTCTGTGGTTGGCCCTGAGGTCAGGGCTCCCCTGTGTCTCTCCATGGACTTGGACAGGGCCAGGGCATCACACAGGCCATAGGACAGTCCGTGCCCAGCAAGGATAGGATTCCATCAAAGTAGAAAGGGGCTCGCTTACCCCAGTTACAGTCTGAGGCGCATTCTTAGCCTGGGGCAGGTAGCACGAAGGGAACACAGTGGAGGAGAAAGAGCCACTCACAGAACCCCCCCTCCCCCGGCACCCAGGCTCTCCTTCACCCTCCCACCTTCTCCTGCTCCTGCTCCTGCTCCT